CATTATTTTTTTAAGCTTCTATTATTAAACTACTTCCCATTTTTATAATTTACACTTATTTTTCGTCACTCGTATCTTCGTTAATTATATTTATTTCTTATAAGTATTAAACGATTCGTGTATTTTCAGTTTTTATTGTTCTTAATTATTAATTTAAGTTGTCAATTATGTTATTTTTTTCAACTATTTCTTACGATTGTTGTTTAATTTTTACTTTTAATTTATTTTTATAATCTGTTATATTTTACAATTAATTTTCTATATCTTCTAATTCTTTATTTTTCTTTTTTATTTCTCCTTCTTTTTCATTCAAATCTTTCTTGTACATTTTATGCATTCTATTTATATCTTCTATAAATTATTTCTCATAATTATTTACATAATTTTACTTTCTTATAATATCTAATTTTTAATTATGCTTTTAAAATGTTTTTTAATATTATTTATATTACTCTTGTAAATAAGTTTATGTATGAGTTCCAAACCTTTTTAAATAAATCTCCTCTTTCAACACATTATAAAGAGACCTATCTTACTAATTCTTATAAACAAGCAGAGTAAACTGCTTATAATTCTTCAATTAATTAAAACTATCAATTTATTTATCTTATATAAGCTTAGTAATTATTTAGATTAACCAATATTCTAATTATTCAACATCTTTTCTTGAAGTTGTATTTTTAAGTTTATTGTTTATAGTATTTTTTGTTACAGAGTTTAAAGAAAATTCATTTATTATAGAACTTACTTACTATTTATTTAAATCATAAATGTTTAATTATGAACCATCTAGTCTCTTAACATTAGATTCTTAAGACATAATGCTATTAATATTTTCATTATAATTAACTATTTTATCTTAAAGCACTTTAAAAAAATAATAATAATAGAACATGGCAATTTTTTTAAATACTTTTAACCCAAAAATTTTATTTATTTATTCTTGCTTTAAATAAATCATCTACTTATGAATTATTAAGCAATGAAGTTTCATATATTTGCTTTTATGTTATTTTTGGATCCCACTAATTTACAGCATGATTTTCTATATGTGAGGTGTCGTTAAAGTTATTCATATTTAAACAAAAGCTATTTATTATTCCAGATATGTTATTATTTCTTTATATAATTATTACGTTTATTTTTTGAAAAAAATAATTTTGTTTACTTTATTTTTTATATGCTTGATAATTTGAAATTCCCAATACTACTTTTACTTTCTAATTATTTATATAATATTTATTTTTATATTCTTAAAAAAATTAAAGTTATTTACCAGTTGATGTTAATTGTATTTTAGGTAAATATGTCATATCAAAGTTTATTTATGATTAATTCTATTTTTAATTTTTTTTTAAATTCTCTAGAGTGTTAAAAAAATCTTAACTTTTATTACTTTAAGACAGTTACTTTTGACTTTTATTTTATTTTTAATGCTTTTCTTATTAACCAATTTCATTTTTTTTAACAAAATTACAATTTTCATTCCTTTTTTATGAATTCTAATTTATTTAATCCAAATCATTATTTTATAATTCTTGCTGATTTTTCTTTTCTTATAAAGTATTTATATTTATTAAACTTCTCAAATTTTATTCAGAAAACATTCCGTTTGAATAATTTTTTTATCTAATCTTATTAAATAATTAAAACTATTATTTATTATAGTTCGTTTTATTTAATTTATTTTACAAAGAACTGTAATTTATATTCCTAGAATCATTCGTTTTTTGTTTAAATATACTGTAAAAGCTTCCTTTATCTTACTAATTTTACTATAAATTTACATATTTTTCATTTTCTTGAGTTGTAGTCATATAAAAAATTATTATTATTTATTTATATATTTTAATAGTTAAAATTTTTTTTAAATTATCAAATAGATAATAATAACTAAAATAAATTTATTTTAAAACATATATTAGCTTAAATGTTTCATAAATAATCTTAAAATTAAATTATAAATATAATTAAATTAAATAGTTATATATATAAAAATAATTTATAAAATAATGAATTGATAGATAGAATTTTATTTTAAATTTACATATTTTATAAATTATATATATTTGTATTCATTATTTTATTTTGTTTTTCCTCCAATCTTAATTATCTTCGCTTCCTTTTGAAAAGTTATTAAACTAATCTTATTTTTTATTTCTGAAATTATTTGATTGCTTAAATTCATTTCTTTATTCGAAATTTTTTTATTTATCAAATCTTTGATTTCTTCTACCTCTAAAAGAGTTATTTCTTTCTTCTTATTATTGTCTAAAACCTCCTGTTTTTTTTTATTGAAAACTTCCCGATTATTATTATTTGAAACCTCCTGTTTATTATTATCTGAAACCACCTGCTTATTACTATCTAAAACCACCTGTATATTATTATTAGAAAGTTCCTGATTATTATTATCTAGGATCTCCTATTTATTATTATCTAAAGCCTCTTGGTTATTACTATCTAATACCTCCTTTTTATTTTTATTGGAAATCTTAACTTTTATAATTTCTTTAACTTCCAAAATTATCATTTTTTTTTTAACCAAATTAATTTCTATCTTAAAATGGCTTTTTATCTTTAAATTGTTTATTAAATCTTTAAAATTTATTTTAATCATTTTTAAACTCTTTGCTTTTGCTTCTTCTTACTATATTATTGCTTTTTTATTCAAATCTTTAGTTTAATCTTTGAAATCCATTTAATTACCTTTTAAGGAATTAAAAATTTTTGCTTTTGTATTTTTGATTATTAGTGTTTTTAAACAAATTAATTTTCATAGATTCTATACTAATTAAATAAAATTAATCGGAAATTTATTATTATTCTTAATTATCGTTTTATACAAATGCAAATAAAGTTGATTTTTTTTTTATTTTTATGTCAATTATTTTTATTATATTGTTTTCTTCTTATAAAAAACCATTTTCTCGGTCATTTAATTTTAATACATAAGGTTTTGTAAAATCCAATTATTTTTCTTCTTATTTTTTTTAATTTTTTTCATACTATTCATCTTAAATTTTTTAAAATTCTTATTCGCATTCAAAAACTACTTATTCAAATTCATTTCTTTCTTTTTTAATATTTTTTTTTAATTATTGTTTTGTAAATTTTTACTTATTTCTTTTTCTTAAATATCTGCTTATAATTTTTATATTTAGTTTCTAATTCCAATATAAAAATAAGTTAATTTTTTATCTTAATCAATTTACATAGAAAAACAATTAATAAATCCTTCAAATTAATGGAATAACAATTTATTTTGTTCTTAACCAATTTATATTAGTTTTCCTTATAATAATTTTCTTTAATTAATTATAGCAAATATTTAATATTCTTAATTTATAATAAATTAATCTATTTGGCTATCTGAATCACCAATAATAACTTTCTAATTTAAAGAAAAATTTAATCCAATAATATACATATATCCAGTCATCTATATAATAAATTTTAAATTAGTGATTTTAATTTTTAAAAATATTAATTTACTCCTCCTAAAATCAAAATTCTTTTAAGTTAATTATCCTATTTAATAGTTAATTGCATTAAACTTTTTACAAGCTTATTTTCTAAAATATTTTGAGTAATATATATAGATTTTTCTTCATTTATTTCAGCTTTATAATCAAAATCATTATTAATATCATCATTTTTATTTTCGATTTTTTTAATTTTCCACAATTTACAAAAACCATCAGCAGAAGTAGTAATTAAAATTAATTAGTCAATTTCTTATGCAAATCCGCATTCATCGAAAATTTCCTAAAATTAATAATTATAATTATTTTCTTTTTTCTATTCATCACGAATTTCTTCTTCTTCTTCATCATCCTCATCAAAATCTTCATCATCATCATCAGAGTTTGAAAACGAATATTATTCATTTTCATCTTCATCTTCATCTTCATCTTCATCTTCACCTTCACCTTCACCTTCACCTTCACCTTCACCTTCACCTTCACCTTCACCTTCACGTTCACCTCCACGTTCACGTTCACGTTCGCTTTCACGTTCACGTTCACCTTCATCTTCATTTTCATTTTGGTTATTATTTAACTCATCTAATTTACTTAATTTTTTTTTTTTTAATAAAAAATTACTTTTATTATTTAATGTTTCAGGTAAATTCTAATTATCTACTTACTAATCTTAGTTTAATGAATTAGTTTTTTTATCTTCTTCATCATAATTAGCATCTTCTTATTAATTTTGGTATTTTTGATCATATTAATCATATAAATTATTTAAAGTTTAGATTGCATTTTCTATTTATTTAAACTTCTCTTCTAATTCATCAACATTGTCTTACTCTCCTTCCAACTAATCGACAATTTCATCTTTTTATTATTCCAAATCACAAATACAATTCCAAATATAAGCCAAAGGATTATTATTTTCCGAATTTAAATCTCCAACAATTTCATTTTATAATTTTTCAAAAAATTCATTTTATAAACAAAATGCTGCACTATATATATTTTTTAAATGTGCAATATCAATAAGAAATACTTTCTTCGAAAATTATCCCTTAAATTTATATTCTTTTAAATCAAATCCACAAATAGAATAAATACCCAAACTATTTCTAAAAGACAGAGCAACCCATCTATTAGAAAAGAAGAAAGCTTTTTCAGCGAATATATTATTTTAAGGATATTAAAAATGACTTTTAAGCTCAAGTATAAGTTTTTTTTATTAAATGTAAATTGAAAAGGGATTTTCTTCAATTTACATTTTATTTTTATGCATTTTTTTTTAATTTCTTTTATTCTTATTAGTTTAACTTTTATGAATAAATTTTCCAATAAAAAAACCATTTTAAAAAAATACTATTATTTGTGTATTTTTATACTTAAATGTATCTATTATTTTCTATAAATTTACCTATTATCCTAATTCACTTAAAGAAAATATGATTTATTATTTTATATTTTATTAGTTTTCATTTTCTTTTTTTTCGTTTTCTTCTTTATTTTCTTATTTTTCGTCATCTTTTTCATGTAAATATCTGCAATTTTCCTCATATTGACACTATCCTGTTCTTGAATATTCATTGCATATCTTCTTTTTTTCATTATTTTCTTAATTTTCATCTTTTTTTTCATGTAAAAATCTGCAATTTTCTCCAAATCTGCAATTCCCATTCTAAAACTAATTGCATATATTCGTCTTTATTCTCTTTCTTGCACCTTCTTCAATACTATTTTCTTATTCATTATCATTCTTTTATGTGTCCTCATCTCTTTCTAAATTATTTTTCTCACTTTTTTCATCTTCATCATTATATCTTTTTTTAGATTAATAGTTTCTTTAATCAACTTCTTCTTCTTAATTTTCATGTAAAAATCTACATCTATCTCCATATTTACAAAAACCTTATTTCTTAAAATCAATACATGCTTTTTAGCCCCTTTTAGATATAGTTCTTTATTAGTTGCTTGAAACATCAGATTAATTTTAATCTGAAACTTAATCAGAGTTATTATTATAATTTTCTTCATGTAAAAACCTGCATTTATCACCATACGAACAATTACCATATTAAAAATCATTGCAAACTTTTTGTTTTTATTTAAAAGGATTCCTTTGTATTTAATTAGGATTTTAATGCGAAAAATTACATTCATCGCCTTTTTTACAATTTCCTTTTAAATAATAATCACATAATTTTTAATTTTAATCAGACATTTTTTTTTTTTTGAAAAATATTAATATTTATAAATCTTAAAATTGATTTACTTTTTTATTTAGAATTTAATCAATTGGATTTATTTATATTTATGTCTTTTAATTATTATTTTTATAAATTGATACAAATCTAATTATTTAATATTTTTTTAATAAACAATTATTATTTATATTAAAAAATTTGTTAAAATATTTCAGATTTATTTAATATAAAAATTTTTAACAAAATTAATATATGCTATATATGATACATTTTAAATTTTGTATTTATTACTTAAATTGTATATTAAATAAATAAATAAATTCTAAATATTGAATATAACTTATATTTAACATTTTTAATTATATAATTATAATAATATAATAATTAGAATTTTAAATTTTAATAAATTTTTTTAAAAATTATAGGATATCACAAAACATTTATGAGAATTATATAAGCAATTTAAATAATTATTAATTTATATTATGATTCATTAAATTATAAATCATTAAAAAAAACATATAAGTTTTTTATAAAAACTTATTTTTATTTATCCAACAAATTAAAAATTTTATTTTTCATGTTCTAATAATAGTATATAATTTATTAGATTGAAATATCCATTTGCTAACTATAAATATTTGTTAATTTTTCTTAATTAAACAAACATAATTGATCTGAAAAAATACAAAATTACATATAATTCATATTATTTTAATTAGATTTAATGTCAAATTCTTTCAAAATTTCTTCCGATTATGAGTTTTAAATTTAATAAATTTTAATTAAGAGTTATAAAGTATCCAAACTAACACAACCATTAAAAATTATTTTAATATATTCAAATTATTAATCATAAAGATAAATACTTTATTAAAAAATATCTAAAAGATTTAAAAAAGTTTGACAAAAAGGTATTTTTTCATTAATATTATCGACTGGCATTTCCTGAATATTTTCATCACCAAAAAATTATTTTTTGAATTCGTTTCTAAACTTTTTATGAATAATAATACTATCTAAACTATAAAAAAGTTTATATTTATTAGTCTAAGCCCTTTCTAATTTAAAACTATTAACATTTTCACATAATAAATTAAAGGATTGATTAAAAAATTCCAATTTTTAATTTTAAAAATCATCTTATGCATATAAATTATAAAATATAGCAAATTATGGGAACTCTTTTATTTATGCAATTAACTATTTCAATAATTACTAAAGCTTTTGTTCCGCAACTTTTTTTAAACCAAACTAATTCAAAAAATAAAGATAAACTTGCTCATAAATTTAAGTTTGGACTTTTTCGTTATTTTTGTTTGTTGTCTTTATATTATCATTAAGTAAAATATTTATCATTCTATTTATTATTGGATTGTACTTTTAAGGATTTGCTTTTATTTTTAATTAAAAATCTTAAATATTTGAAAAAGAGTTTTTTATTATTTTTGCACTTTCGCATATTTATTATAAATACTAAGTATTATTGTCTAAAATTCCACTAATTTTTTTATTTTGATTTAGCTTAGAGGCTGGAGATTATAAAATAAACATATTTTTGGAATCTTAAATATCTATTAAATTACTGTTTAAAATAGGAGGGTTTTATAATTTTTATTATTATTAGAGTGTATTGTTTTAAATTTGTACTTTTAATTATGGAGTATTTATACTTTAATTTTTTTTTTGTTAAAAGCTATTCTATTTATTTTCTAAATCTAAAAATTTACTTTTCTTAGAAATTTCATTTAAATTTTATTAAAGCTTATTTTTGATTTTTGGTCTATAACTTTTTTTCATTTAAATGCTTAAGCTTTAATTTTCTTCTCCTCCTTAAAATAATTCTTACTCTTGTTATTATTTGATTAGATTTTTTTTTATTTCTTTATTATATTTGTACTTATTTTTTTCTTCAAAATTTACAAAGTTTTAATTTGAATTTAATGGATTATAAAGAGTATTTGCATTTAAAAACTAAGACTTTTTTTTTGAAATCATATTTTTATTATTTTCAAGCTCAGGTGAGTCTTTTTTAGATTTATTTTATAAAAATTATTCCTTTTTATTCAATCGTAATAACTTCTGCTTAATTTTCATTATTTTTTATTTAGTTTAGTTGATATTTAAATTATCATTATAAGGTAACACATTTTTTAATTTATTCTATATATTTTCTAATTATTCTTATTATTATATACTAAATAAATTTTTATTTGATTCATTTAAAAAATTTTCAAATTAATTTATTAATTTTGCATTTGTTATTTATTCTTTTTATTAGACTAAATTTTCATTAATTAAGAAATTATCATTAACTTAAAATTATGATAAGTTATCTTAATTTTAATTTTCGTTTAGTTAATGATTTTCTTATTATTAATCTTCTATATTACTTTCTGTAAATATCTGAAAATCAATATCTTAAAATAGTTCACATTATATTTCTTAATTTTAAAGGCTTAATAAATCATCTACCTAAATTTATTGATCTACTTATTGGTTTGTTATTTATTTTTTACCATAATAATTTAATAATTATACTTAAAAATCTTTTATTTCTAAATCATCAGTATATATTTATTTATCTTTTATTTTTATTTTGTCTGTTTAAATTTCTTTCTCTTAATAAAAAACATAATTAGTTTATGTATCTATTTATTAACATTAAATTAAACCATAAGTATCTGTTTAAACATTTTTTGAAAACTCTTACAAAATTAATTATTTATTCTCATCATATTCGTCGTTTTCTTCTATTTCTGTTACTTTTGCTTCGTTTATTGCTAATGTTATATTTCTATCTATTATATATTCTCTTATTATCTAAAGGATAAAATAATAAATTACTATAAATAAATATATATAAAATATTTTTACATTGTCAATATCTAGTTTTTTCATGATTTATTCTGTAGAGAATAATTCGTTCCTTATACTATGTCCTTATCTTAAAAGCTGATTTCTGGTTATTTTATCTTATTTTATTTATTCAAACATTTATTGTTTTTTATTCATAGCTACTTACCAAGTAATTTTTTAAGATTCCATTTAATAACCAATATTTTCTTAAAAAATTTTATTAAATTAATCTTATAGTGTATTTATTTATTCATTTATAATTTTATAATTCTTTTCAACTTTATTCCCTTTTCTTATTAAAATTCTTTTTTTTTATTTTCATAAATAAATAAAAATATATTTTATTTACAAATTTTCAAACACTTATTTTTAGAATTTTATTTATAATTAATTCAAAAATTAATCCTAAGAATCTATTTTTTTATGCTATTCATTTAATTGATTCTAATATTTTTCTGTTAACACTTTTATTTCTTAAAGATGTTATTTTTCTAACTAAATGTTTTATTTTTTTAAATGAAAAAATATTTTTTCACTTAATTTTATTTAATTATCCCATATTTATTAAAGTAAATTTGATCTTTCTTTACATTCTAATGAAACTTACCTAATAATTTCACTTAAACATGCTTAAAATAAATTTTAATATTAATTAAAAATACTAATCGTACTTAAATTTTCTTAATTAACTAAATCATTTAGTTTTTCTTAAAACCACTTTTTTAAATTTAGCATCTCCTGTCTTTTTCCTATTTTAACATTTTATTTGCTTATCAATTATTTAGAAGGAGATTAACTATTTATTATGAAAAAAAAATTTTTAACTTTTTCATTATTTATATTAATATTATTTAATGAGTTTTTCCTTCGTAAATTTTTTAATTATTCTTTGTAAATAAAGATTAATATTTTATTTAATTTTATAATATTTCTTCTTTTAAATTTTCTTTAGAATTGTTTTCTTTAAAAATTTATGTTTTATTAAAATTTTTATGCATTATTTAATTGCATTAGTTTAAAAAATTAGGGTTTAACCCACTAAATGAATTAATATCTTTGTATTTTTATGGAACTTAAAAGGTAGTTATTGAATTATTTTTATTTTTATTAAACTCTTTAATATGTGTTATAAATTGTATTTCGTTTATTTTATCATAAAAACTTATAGATTTTTTCTAATTTCTTTATTTTTCTAAATATTTGTTTTCTTCCTTTGTTGAAAGAAGACTTTAAAAATTATGTATTTTTTATTTTTTCTCTTCATTTTTTGAAGTTTATATTAAACTTACAAATATATTTTTTTTTGAATTTGTTTCTTTATAATTTATGTATTACTTAAAAAAGATTAAATAATAATATATAATATATTTCATATTTTTTAAAATTATAATTTAATTAATATAGTTACATTTTTATTATTTAAATTTTATTATTTTTTTTATTCGAAATTCTCTTCTTAAGAATTATCTAAAATCAAATTTATTTTTTCTTCGATTTCTTATTTATTAAATAAATTTGGTATGTTTTTTTTTTATTAAAATTTCATTTTTTTTAACAAATATATTTGAAATTAAATTCAAAAATTAAAACAAATAATTTAATTAATTTTTTTTACTTTTTGTTTTTATATTATTGCAGAATTAAAATTATTAAAAATGTAATAAATAAAGAATAATTAATATTTAATAAAAACTAATAAAATTAAAATTAAATCTTTAGATAATATATCTAATTATAATATTAAAATAGATTAAATTTATCAAATGGGCATTCAGCTATGGATATTGCAAACATATACATTGCTTTTTAATATTTAAATTGATATTTTTTGATTTATATATCAGTAGGAATATATTTTCTTATTGCAGGAAAAACATAATATTTATTACTTCCATAATTCAGATTGTAAATTTTGTTATTTTGATAATTAATCTTAGTTTATATGTAAACTATTCCTTCTATATAAATCATACGATATCAAAGTAGAAAATAAAATTATAACATCTAATAAAAAAAAAGCAGTGTTTGGTATTTTTGATTTCTAGAAAAAAAATTAATTATATAATACTTAATAAAAAATAACTTTAATAATTTTTATTCATAAAATAAATTTTAAGGATATAGATATATTAGTAATTTAAAAAAAGTTTGGAATATTTTAGGATATATTGCAATTTATTTTTTCTTGTCTCTTTTTTATATTAGCATTTTTAAATATTGCTTAGCATTTTTACCCAACAAGTATTGTTTATAATTGTGTTAACTTTAGATTATTAATTATTAAAGAAGCATAATAATATATATAATAGGCTTTTATTTTGAAAAATAAAGTTTATAATTAATATTATATTCTTCTTTACAAGTTTTATGAAATAAAGATGGGAATATATTTTATTTTTTTATTAAATTTTTGTTTTTATATTATGTCATTTTATTTATTGCATAAAAGGATTTTGTTAATATTTTTTTATTGAAAATTAATACTGCCTTAAATTTCATTTATCTTAATTTTTAATTTCTTTTTGTATATGAAATGCATTAATTTTATTTAATTAATTTCTTTTTTCGATTGTTTTCATTAATTATTAATATAAATATATTACAAATAATAAAAAATTACATAAAAATATTGATATTTATTTTTAAAAAATATATATTTCATCTTTAATATTTATTAAGTATTTATTATTATAATTTCTAAAATAAAACAATTTCATATGATGCTAATTTTCAAAGTATATTTTGGTCCGTCTTTATTATAAGTTTCTGGTTTTAATAGTTTATAAATTCTTTAAGTTAATCGTTAATTGCGACCTTTTTCTATTTGGTAAACCTCTAAAAGCAATTCGCTATATTATTTTGGGCATTAACATATCATATAGAATCTTTAACATTAGGTTATTTAATATTTTAATTTGTTCTGTTTATACACATTATACAATAGTATATATAGAGGTAAGTTTAAAAAAATAGCTCTACTCTCTTTTAAGCATATATGTTATTTTTTGTTTTCTATTCTAAAATCTTTTTGATATTTAAGTAAAAATTTTATGTTTAAATTTCTATTTCTGGAAAAACTACTTCGAAACAGTATATAACTCTTACATTATTTTATAATTAAATTCTAATAATATTAAAAAATTTCATATTAAAAAGGTTTTTTCAGCTAGAATTAATATTTCTTATTATAAACAAAATATAGTTTCTCCTTTTTATTACAAACTATTTTTTGTTATATTGTAAAATAGTTCTTTTTTGTCAACTTATATTGTAAAAAATTATTAGAAAAAAAGATTTTTATATAAATTTTATTTATAAAAAAATAATTTTCAAATTCAAAATATTTTTTCCATAAATATTTAGTTGGTTTTATGTAAATTTATAAAATGTATAAAAATTTTATATAATACATTATTTAAAAATTTAAAGATATAATTAGATATAATTATTATAAAAAATTTGTTAGTTTTGATAGTACTATATAATGTTTCATATTCGATGAATAATTGAAAAATCTAAACAAAATTATTTTGACCCATTATGCATTTTTTAAACTTATTTTTATTTTTTATTTAATCAAAAATAGGATTTCTATAAAATTAATTTTATTAAGTTTATTAGATGTAAATATTATATATCTGATAAATATTATTTGAAATAATTTTTTTCAACTAATTTATTATTTTTAAAGAATAGTATATTTTTATTTTTTGTATTACTTTTTTTTAAAAACTCTACAAAATAAAAAAAGTAAATAATCCATTTTTTTCGCCTTTTTTTATGTCAATTGTGCTTTTAAAATAAAATTAAAAAATAAATAAAAAGAAATAATTATAAATTTAATATTATTTTATTTTTTTGTAAATTGTATAAATAAGATATAATATTTATTTATTTTAATTCCTTATTTATTAATTTTTATTTATATTAAAAGTTTTTTTTTATGAAAAATTTATAACATATGCAATCATTTTATGCAAGATGTTTTTTAAATATCTCCTGAAATATTATTCATTTTTTTTGAAAATAATAAATTTAAAAATAAAAATATATAATTCATAAAAAGCTTTAATAATAAACACTAATTTTTTTTTTATAAAATGTAATATTCATTTTTATATTAATTCGGCTTATCTTCTAGGTGATAATGGATGACTAAATTCAAAAAATATTAAAATTAAAGTTAAAAATATTAGAATGCATTAAATATAGGCAATCAATTACTTAAATAATCCTTTATCAGCAATGATAGGAAGTTATTGTTGATACATTTTTTCAAAAATAGAAAAAATATTTCTTTATTTTTTTTAAAAATTAAAATTTATACAAAATATTTAATTTATAATTATGAATTTAAAACAAAAACAAAATCAAATTAAAATAAAATAAACAAATATCATATTAAAATAGAATATAAAAGGAGTTAAATAATTTAATTTTTTCTCTTTTTAATTTATTGTTGGGAATAATACTCTATATGATTATGAAATTTAGCATATAAAATAATTTTTACTATTCAATATTACTTATTAATATTTATAATACGAAAAAAGTTAGTTAAGGACAGATATTAAATAAATAAAAAAAAATACCAGAAGATAAAAATACTTTAAAAAAAATTATTTCTTAAATTATATCTAATTTAATTTAAAAATTATAAAACTTTATTTTAAAAAATAAACAGTAATAATCTTAACTATATTTAAATTTTAAAAGAAGGATAAATTAATATTATGTTGAAATATTTATTTAAGTATAAAATATTTAATGAAAAATAAATACCTTAATTAATTTAATTTTAATATAATTTATAAAAAGGCTAATATTTATATATATTGTAAAGTAATTTTTAATTTTTTTTAAAATTAAACAATGTTTCATGACTTTTATATAAGGAAGATGTTTATTTTAAAACGCCTTTACTTTATATTAAATATTTTTTAAAAAATTATTTGTTTAATTTAGTTTGAAAAGAAAAAATTTTTGATATGAAAAATTAGCAAAGTATAAATAATTAATTAGATATATAAAAAGACTGAAATTTTTATAATTGTATATATATGATGAAAAATTATACTTTAAATTTTTTATATTAATTATTTTTATTTAAATATAAGAGATCTATGTTTGTTAATAGTAAATTAAAATAATAACATTCGAATTAAAAAAAATATATTAAATATATAATTATTAATTTTGCAAAATTAATAATAATTTAAAATGTTTAATTATTATAGAGGATCTTTCTTTATATGTAAAAACATAATTTAAATTTAAATTTAAATTTAAATAAATATGACTATAAAAGTTAAATACTACTGTAATATAAAAATTTTATTTATCATAAACAAATATATTTAAATAATAAATTATTTCGCGAGTGTGTTTTTGTTTGCTTTTAAAAAATTAATATATTATATTTTTTATTATGATTGATGATTTTATTTGAAATTAAATAAAAATAAATAATAAACCTTGATTATTCTAAATAAATAATTTATCTTAATATATTATTTTTAATTAAAGATTATTTATTTTTTCAAATTTTTTTTTTTAAAATAAATATTGAAAAGAAAATTGAAATTTGCATTTTTTTATATAATATTTTTTAAAAAATAAAAAACAATACAAACAAATTTTATATAACTATAATTTAGTTTAAATATATGGCAATTATATTAAAAATTAAAAAAATTCTATTAAATAAAAAAAAATAAACTAAATTTTATTTAATAATTATTAAAAATATTTTATGTAAATATAATATGATTATGATTTCTTATTATAATAATATCTAACAAGAAAACTTTAATAAGTTGACTATAATAAAAATTCATTTTCTCGCTCTTCTTCTTTTTCTTCTTAGTCTTCTCATTCTTTTCTTTCTCCACTTTTCTCTCATTTTTTTTTTAGAAATTTTAATTTATATAATACTATATTTAATTATAATAATAATAAAAAATTATAATATATTAAAAAAAAAATTATAAAAAAAATCTAAATCTATTTAATTTTATATTATTTAAAAATATATTTGCAGTATATAATTAAAACTTTTTATAAAAAAATCATTGTTTTAAAACATTAGCCAATTCAATATGTTAATCTAAATCATAAAGTTATTATTATTATTATTATTATTATTATTATTATTATTATTATTATTATTATTGATATTATTTATATTATTATTGATATCTTATATATTTTATTTTTAATTATCATCATAATCTATTTCTTTTAGTAATTCGAATAATTTTACATCATTTTAATTTTCATCATTTTCTTCATCTTTATTTTCAATATAAACATTATTTTTATTATCATCATTTTAATCTTATTTTATTTCTTCATTTTCATATTATTATGCAATCTGTATATTATTAAATTTTAGCATTTTTCTAAGTTACCTCCTGGATATTTATTATTTTTTCTCTAATTCATTTTTGTCTAATTATTATATGTTTTATTCATCTCTATATAGGTTTATTTTTTCTCTTAAAATTGGGTCCCTTTCAACATCTTCTAAAAATTCTTCAAAATCTTAATCTTTTCTTAAAAAATCTTTTTTTTTTAAATTTTTTTAAAAAGCTTCTTCTACAGTAACACCTAAATCAATCATTCTTTTTACTTTCCAAATTCTTTTTTTCTTTGCTTCTTGATTATTTTCATAATTTCTTTTTATTAAAATAACATCAGGAGCATTTTTTAAATTCTCAAAATCCTCTGAGTGATTTAAAGTTGTCAAATCATAACCAATAACAGTACATCCTTCCTTCAAAATATCTCCTAAATGAGTTTTTACTGTAAATTCTTTCCAATCAGAAGTTCTGGAAATTTCGACACGTGCTAATCTGGTTTAGTAAATATTACAAATTGAAGTCTTGTAACTTTAATTCTGACTATTTTCATCAAAAACTTATAATTTTTCATAAGAATTGACCATAAATTCAGTTGAATTATTTCTTAATGAAATGCAAATAATATCGTTTTCATAATAGAAATATTTTTCAGGAATTATATCAATTCTTTTATATGTAAAAGTATCTACAAAATGCAATAAATTACTAATTTTTATACATAAACATAATGGATTTACTCCTCCTAATTCTTTGCATAATTTAGGTGGAAAAATACATAAATCATCTTTACAAACTTTAGGTAATTCTAAAGAATAGACATATTTATTTTAAAATTAATTGCTTCTATCGTCATGACTTATCAGTTGTTTTGATTATTTATATTTTATAGGAATTGTTGATTATAAGAATTCTACAAGTTTAGTTGCTTATATTTTAGTTTTAAAAAAGAAATCTAATCCATCATCCTTTTCTTCTACTTTTAATACTTTATCATGTTCATTCTGCTTTAATATTATTTATTCTAAATATAAAAAAGTCTTTTTATGCTCCACTTTTTACCTTAATTATATTTAAGCACCCCATGTATGAGGAGTAAATTATTTTCTACAATCTTCACATTAACCATAATGTTCAATAAATTCGACAATTAAATTTTATTAAACGTTTATATTGTTTAAGACTTCCTTTTAAATGGTCAAACGTAATTTTATTCTTTTTGAATGAGGTTCAGTATATAAAAATGCCGAGTCTATTAACTTTACTTTATTTAAGCCTTATATCTTTTTCAAACATAATGAAAGCATTTCCTTTGATTCTTTTTCACAATATAACCATGGAGGACTATTAAATCTGTGGCACATTCTACAAAATTATATTGTTTCTTAACGACTTATCTCTTTTGTTATATCTTCTTGGTTAGATATACATTATATACACATATTTGTTCGTGTTTAGCCAGCATTAAATGCTACTCCACATAAACAGCATAATATTGTTGCTGTTTATTTTTTTATTGAAGCATTATCAGATTTTATTATTTATGATTATTGGATTGTTGATGGAATTGATTTTCGAACAAAAGTTGTTTGTAAACTTTTTAATGGTGAAATATTATTTTATTGAGTTTAAAAGTTAAGTGGTTATTATATTAAATCCTCTTATTGAAATTAATTTTTTTATTCCATATTATTTATTTAATCTTTTTTATTTTCTTTTTAAAAAAAATATTTGGAATTTTTGTTTAAAAAATATTATTATTTTTTATTTATGTGCGATAGATGATTCTATTTGTTTTTATAATTATTTCTATCAATAGTCTTTTTTTTTTCCTATTATCATAATTAAAATATATTTTATTGAAATTATAATAAATTAATTTATGATTTAATATTTTTATAAGATTTATTAAATTATTAATATTAAATAAATTATTATAAAAAAACAATGAATTATATTAAATACATATTCAATTATTAACATTTTATTATATGAAAAACGATAAAAATACTTTTGTTTAGTAATATTAATATTTCATAACCTTTTATTAAATGAAATTAATCATATTTTAAGTTTTTTTAATTTTGATAAAGGTTTTTATTATTTTATAAAGGTTTTAATATAAACTTTATTTTTTTTTAATAAAAAAGCTATTAAACAAACAATATTTTAAATAAATATGCCGAAACAAAAAAATGATATTTTTAAAAAGTAAATTGAAATTTTACTTAAAAAATCTTTTTTTCTTAAAATTTATAAAAATTATATAAAAATTTATATTTAAATATAATTTTACTACCAATATTAAAAATGGTTTAATATTAAATATGAATTGTTAATTATTTAATAATTTACCATCTACTTTGTTTAGTTTATTTAAAAGAATATATTAATAAACCGAATTTAGCTCAGTTGGAAGAGCATCAGACTGTAAAGTTATGTAGTCATCTGGTGGTCCCCGGTTCGAACCCGGGAATTCGGATTTTTTTTATAAATAATTCTTATTTTTAAAAAATAAAAAAAGTAAGTAAAAATTAAAGTTTTAATTTTAAAATAAACAAAAATTATAATAATATAAAAAAATAAATCTACATATTTTTTTTAAAGAAATTAAATGTTAATAGATTTTTATTTTAATTTGTTAATGGTAATAAAAATTTAAAAATTAAAGAATATTTTATCAAATATTGATATATTTTTTTTATTCTTGTTTATAAATATATATTATTTAAATGTTTTTAATTTAATTTATTTTACAATATTTTAAAAACGTTAAAAAAGCTTATATTATTTAATATACGTGTAGAAATTTTAAGTATAAATTATAAATTTTTTTTTTAATAATGTAAAATTAAATCATTCTTTCTAAATAATTTAAAAATAAAAACACAGAAAATCAATCATAAAAAATAACTAAATAATTTTAAATATTTTATTTTTTTATATAATATAAAAAAAGATACTAAATAATTAAGAAGAAATATATAAAAAATGCTTAAATTATTATTAATCATTTTGATAACTTTATTTATTGCAAAAGCATCAGTTCACTATTTAGATTAAGTAAAATTCACGAAACTAATTAGCTAAAACCCTCGAACTCTAATAATATACCATAATAAAAATCGTCAATCACAAAAGCTATTATCTACAGTCGTTAATTTAGAAGAAGAATTAAAAAATGCTAAAATATATTTAGAAATAGGAGTAGTCTATTAAAAAGAACATCCTGAATTATGTAAAAAAATAAATGAGTACCCCAGCGTATATTTGTTTGAGAAACACGGTAAAACACAAGAAAAATACAAAGGATATTTAACTAACGAAGATTTAATAAATTGGTTAAAGAAATATTTGAAATTCCGAAAAAGCGCATCTAAACCAATTTAATCAATAGAAGCATTAGAAAATAGGTTTTATAAATAAAATGATATGGTAGTATTTGTAGGATATGAATAAGACAGTGAAGAGTTTTAGGCTTATTAATAATTGGCAAATACAAAAACCGAATTTATTTTCCTTCATTCTTTTGAATAAAACATGATAGACTATTTCAAAGTAAAGAAAGATTCTGCAAAAATAATATCTGTAAATATTGGTGAAAATAAATTTGGGTAAAACCATTATAATGAATATAAAGGAGATTTAAAAAATATGAATGCAATTATTCATTTCTTAAAAACTTATAATTTTAGAGGATTTAGATTCATTAATTCTAATACTTTTGAAGATTTAAAATCTGAAAATCTCCCTACTTTGATTATGTCCGTTAATCAATTTTATAATGGACACAATCTATATAATATGACAGGTTACGAAGGTGTTTTTAAAAATCTTAGAGAACACTTTTATAATAAAGCCATTTTAGGAATTGTTAACGGTACTAATCCTTACGAAAGCTCATTTTTTTATAATGAACTGAGATTAAATAGAACATAAATACCTGCTTTAGGTTATTTTGATTTTGGGCATAATATTCCTATAAAAATTCCTTTTAGAGAAAAAAATATAACAAAAGAAGCTATTATTAAATTTTATGAAGAGGCTCATGCAGGAAAATTAGAAGCTATTTATAATTCAGAAACTCCGTTAACAGATGGCGAATAAGCTGAACTTTTGGTAAAAAGATTAAGTAGAAATGATTGGGATAGATATGTAAAAAACAATACAGAATAAGATGTAATTTTATTCTTTTATTATTTAGGATGTTCTGAGTGTGTAGCTTAAAGAGATTTCTTCTGGAGAACCGCCTATAGAATGAAAAATAATGCTAATATATTATTTGCTAGAATAGATGTACAAAGAAATGATCTAGAAGATATAAAAATAACTAATTTTCCTCATTTCAGAATGTATAAAATTGGTTAATATAATAAACCTATTTAAATTATGTATCAAAATACTCCAAATAAGTTTATTTAATACATCAAACCTTTAGTTTCAAAAGAATGGGTTTAACCTATTCCTGATAACGAGGTGAAAGTAGGCAGTTACAAATATGAAGTACTTAAAGCTGAAATCGAATACGAGGCTTAATAAAAAAGAGCTAGTGATATCCAAATGGAGCAATTTAAATAATAAGGTGTAATCTCTCCTGAAAACAAATAAGGATCTAATAAAGAATAAAGTTAAAGTGATTTTAATAACCAATAAAATGAAAATTAAAAAGTTGAACCTTAATAAAATTAAAGTTCTTAAAAAGATAAATAATAATAAAATACTAATTAAAATAGTAAAAAAATTGAACTTTGAAAAAAATTATTTTATAAAATATAATTTTATTTAACTTTTTATCAAAAAACAACATTATTATTTTAAATTGTATTTGTTCTTGTTTTTTTTTATTACAAATTTAATAAATGAGAAGTAATTAAAAAATAAAATTATTATATAATTAAAAAAATACTTTTTTAAAAAATAATGGAGTTAAAAATACATTAATAGCTTTTAAATTATATTAATTTGATAAAAATATTATATTAAAAATTTTATCTGTATTAATTAATAAAATATTTAATTATAAAACCGATATTTTGAATGAATAAATATAAAGATAAATATCCTCATTTAAAAATATAAGATGAAGAATTAAAACAATTAATTTTAGAAGGTTATATTTTTTTAAAAAAATAAGTTTATATTAGTTTTGTTATTAAAAAATTAATAAATATATAAATTTAATTTAATTTTATATAAAAACCATAAGATGATGATATTATTACTTATTATGGCGATATAAGGGATAGATTTATATATACAAACGTTTAGTATGAAAATCAAGAAATCTAAAAAATAAATGAATTATAAAATTACATATAATAATAAAATTAAAATCATTAATTGTAAGTACTATAATAATGGTAAAATAATTAATTTTATATATTAGATTTTAGCAAAAGGAATATCTTTTAAAATAATTATATGGAAATTAATTTGATGTTAAAAAGGCTTACAATAATATTTTGGAATATATAAACTGGTTCTAAAATCCTTAAAATTTTACTTTATAAACTTTATCATTATAACATTTAGTAAAATTAAAAAAAATTATAAAATTTGCACATATAATTTTTTTACTTTTATGATAAAAAATTTTAAAAATTATAAAAATCAATAAGATGCAAATTGTGTAAATAAATAATTAATTTATAATAAAAAATTAAACTTAATAAATAAAATAGTTAAATTTAAAAATAAAATAAAAAAAAGTAAAATGGTTATATTTATTTAGCCGGAAGAGATAAAAAATTAAGGCCAACTCTAGTTTTTAACGTTTAAAAAATAGATTTAAAAATAGATACTAAGGAATCCATATTAAATGCATACATTCATATTTTGTAAATTGTATAAGATTGCTGTTTTTTAAATTCTAAAATTGAAAATTGGAATGTTTTTATAGATTTGAATTAATTAAGTTTTACTGATTTACCAATAACTGTAATAAAAGAAATAATATAAACTATGTAGCAAAATTTTACTTCTTGTTTATATAAAACTTTTATGTTAAATCCTCCGTTTTCTTTTAAATTATCTTGGAATTTGGCTAAATCATTTTTGAATTAAAAACAATAAAATAAAATTTTATTTGTTGATAAAAGCAATTTTACTTCAGTTTTATTAAAATACTATAATCCAGATTAATTAGAAGAGAAATTTGGGGGTAAAGGCTAAAATGTAAGTAAATTTTACCCTCCTTAATTATTAGGAAAACATTATATTTAATAAATATACTATGAGAAAGAAAAAAGTAACGTTTCTGAATTGTTTAAATAAAAAAGTCAAAGTTTTCAATTTTAGTAAAAAAGTTGTTATAATTTTTAAGTAAAAAGATAAAAAATTGATATAGCTTACGAATCAAAAATAAATACTATTATATAAAATAATCAAATAGATTAAACATAAAATGATTAAAATTATAGTGCTTGTTAAATTTTTTGATGTATTTTTTTATTGGAGTTTTTGTAAATAATATATTTTTAGATAATAATTTTATTAGATATACATTAATATTATTTTTTCTTGTATTGGTATTATTAAATCTATAGAAAATATAATTTATTAGATTATACTATTTTTTCGTATTTAGTTTATATTTATAAAAGAAAAAATAATATTAATGTTATTCATTACATAATTGCCTAAAATAAAATAATTAAAAATAGAAATTTAAGGAAATTCTATAATAATAAAATCAGATATTATAAAAATATATATATTATTTACAAAATATTTTTTTTTAATTACATTAATTTTCTTTATTTTTTATTTATTTTAAAAATAAACATAATATTATAAATCAAAAATTTATTTAAAAAAATAAGTATTACTGTAATAATTTTAAGAATGATGTCAATTAATAATAATAAAAGTAAATAACAACTTAATAATAGGATATATCTCTTGCTTATTAGTAGATGCACTATTGCATCATTTAGATGTATTGAAAATAGGATACTAATAAATCCATTTTCATTCAAAATTATTATTATTATTGAAATAAATTAAAATAATAACTAACTTTGTATACAAACACAAGGAAAAAAATTATTTTTTATAGAAATTTAGTATCTGAATTAACATGTTGCACTATTTCATCAGCAGTATATTTTTATTTGTTGAAAAAGATAGAGAATCAAAAATTGTAATAGCTTTTAATTCAATAATAATTCTAAAGTTGATTTTATATTCTCGGCATTTGCAAGAATTATCTTTTTTATTAATCAAATCATTAATTTATGTTTTTAGCTTCCATATGTGACTTTCAAGCTATAAAATATATAAAAATATATTTGAAGAAATAAAAAAATATATAAATATGAGGGGTTAAATTTATTTATAAAAGAATTATAAACTTCAGTATTAAAGAAGTATTATTTGTATATCGATTTTTTTTTATTAATTTTATTATACTAGTAATTAAATATCATAAAAACTTCAACAGAATATTTATAAAAATAAAAAATTAAAATTATAGTTTAAATAAATAAATAATATATGAATATTATTATTTATATTATTGTTTTAGACCTTATTTAAATAAATTAATTTGTTTATTTAAGGACAGATCAATATATTATTTAATATAGCAGTTTTAAAATAATATTTAAATATATAAATTTGAATAATATTTAGATAATTTAAATTTTGTAAAAATAAATTATTGGCATTATTTTGACAAATCTATATATATTGAAATAATATTTTAAAAATAATTTTATATAAATTATTTACCAAAACAAAATGAAAAAAATAAAAATTTATAATATTTCTGTTCTTATACAATGTTTTCAACGTGATTAATTTTATTATAAAAATCTTACTTCTAATTAATGATCTTCCTTTTCGTGATAACCACCAGGTCTAACAGAATCTTCAGGCTATAAAACTTAGTTTTTGTAATAATGAGATAGAATATATTATTAATAGTGTAACCATTAGTCTCCATTATAAACATAATAAAAAATTAATCCTGGAATTGAAAATAATAAAGTCCATTCTTTTCTATATTTTATAAATTTTTTTGAATATATAAAATATAGAATCTAACATCTATATTTCCAAAAATAATTCTTAATAAAATTCATAATAAAAAAATTTAAAATAAAAAAAAAAATATATAAATAAATTAAATAAATAAATTAAAATATTATTAAAAAGATATTTTTATATTTATATTAAAATATTTTAAATATATATATTTTTTTTATATTTTATTTAATTATCTATTTTTTATATAAAATATATTTTTTTTTTTAATTATTAATAAATAAATAAATAAAAGAATAAATAAATAAATAAAAAAATAAATAAATAAATAAATAAATTAATAATTTTAAATAATTATCAATTTTATTATTTTTTATTATTTTTATTTTTTATATATATTTTTATTAACATATTTTATTTTTATATCAATTAATAATATTTATTTTTCATTTATATATTTATATTATTTTTTATATGATTAATTTTTTATTATTTTACTTTTATATTTTTTTTTGTTAAGTTATAATAAATTTTTAATATTTTTTTTTTTTTTTAATAATTATAAATACATACTTTTTTATCAATTTTTTTCATAATAAATTAAATAAAATTTAATATAATATAATATTCTTTTTCTTAATTTTTATATATTATAATTTATATATTGTATAAAACATATATAAATCAAATTTGCACTTAATAATATAAATTTACTTTAATTTTTATTTTAATATTATTTATTATTTTTATTTATTATTTTATAATTATTAAAAATTTTTAACGCCTATTATTTACATATTTTCTTTTAATAATTTATTATTTCTAATTATTTATATTAATTTTTAAGAATAAATTGATTATATTTATACATATTTTTTTATAGAGATTTCTATTTTTTTTTTTCTTTATCAAAACAAATATATAATATAAATTTATTTTGAAATTCTTATTAATAATTAATAACATATATATAGTTATCATTATCAAAAGTTAAAAAGAAATAAAGATTATATAATTTTTTATTAACAATTTATAAATAGCATCAATTAATAATATTACACTATAATCATATTATGATGTTATTTTTTTTACATATGTATTAGGTTTTTTATGCTAATAATATCTGATTTATTTTTTTATTTTTTTTTTTAACAAATATTATATTAATTCTTATTTGATTTAAAAATATATTTTATAAAATACAAGAACTAAATAAATTTATATAAATTTCTTAATTTTTCTTAAAGTATATATTTGTTTAAGTTTTCAGTTTATAATTTATTGATAACTTAAAACAAATAATGAATTATTATATTTAAGTATTTTATAAAAAATAATTAAATGCATTAAAAATTAATTATAATTATTATTTTAAATAAATAATAGTATAACATTATCTAATTAAATTAATTTTTCTCTATAAAAATTTCATATTTTTAAAATAATATTAATATGATTTATATAAATAAAATTAAGATATATAACTACATAAATATTTTTAATTTATTCTATAGAAATTTTAGTAATAATATTTTTTTTATACATAATCACACATTTAAAACATCTTTTGTAAAATCAATAAAACAATAAAATTTTAATCTTTATAATAAATTCTCAATTTGATTTTATAGTTAAAAATATATTTTAATGCTATTAAAATACTATTTTTATAAATTAACATAAATCTTGGATTATCATTTCTTAAAGAGATATTTAATTCAATCTTTCTTTTTAATATAAAATGCATTATTTTTAAGATTAAATAGGAGACTGATTAAGTTAA